ATTTTAAATAACATAAACCACTAATTCTAGTTAAACTTATTGATCATTTAACCAAATTTTATAAATTTATACTCTTATGAAAACTTATATGAATATACCACCCTAATAATTTTGGTGGCCCCAATTTTTTTGGGCCCCGAACATTACTAGGCTAGGGCCGGCCTTGCACATAACAATCAACTATCTCATATCCAATGAAAGGATCCCACTCTTGAAGGTTTGTTATTGGGTAGTGTTATCTACACATATATTTTTACCTTTCACACACATCTCTCAATTTTTAGTTGTCGGATTGAATGAATAAAAATTAACAAGAATCTATAGAAGGTAAAAAATAATGTGTGAATAGCACTAACTTTTTATTATGCCAATGAAAAATGATATTGACACATCGATTTATTCTTATGCAACACCATGCAAGTGTGAAAAAGGAGAAAAACAATGTGTTAAAATCACTTCCCTGTGACAATACACACACACACACTTATTCTTATGGCTAGCACCTCTCCTGAAAGCTTAAGCTTAGAGAGAAGCAGAAATACAAGAAACCATGCCTTTCCTTTTCGTACAGCATGCGAATACCCGACAACAACCGTACTACTACTAGGAGTATACTGTACAAATTAAGACTTGACCCCATTGTATAGATATGCAAGACCATGTTAAGGGCTGGTTTGATATTGCTGTACTTTGAAAAAAAAGCTGTGAGAATAAGCTCATTTTTGCTATTTCATGTTTTCAGTTTTTTTTTTTCACAAAAAATTATGAAAATAAACTGTTTTTAAGTGTTTACCAAATACCTTTTTTAACTCAACTTTTTTTTATACCATTGTTTGTAAAAGCACACCAGTATCATATCAGTACTAAAACTTTTACGCTTTTTCTCTGCTACTTTTGAATGTCCATTTCCAATAAGCTTAACTTTGCAAGAATCTTCTTTTTGCTTTTAAACCTAATCTTCTTGTATAATAATCTTGATTCAAAGAAAAAGCTACGTACATGCATTAGCTTTTGTTTTCTTTAAGACGAAGTGGTTTGTTACTGAAACCCTACGTTGTGCAGTTGCAGTATTCTCTACACAATAATTTTCAAATGGGAGGACCCAACGAGTCTTTGGCAAAGACCCATCCCAACGCCCAAAGGAGATAATAAAAGCTTAAAGCTTTAACAAATCAAAGTTATTAAAATGCAGGTAAAGAAAGTCTGTGGGGCAAACGAGAGAGGATTAGCTTTTCGCAAAGGAACTTTTGGTTGGAATAATTTTTGCTTGATTGGCCCTTTATGTTTGTCTTGTCTTAGTAACAAGTTATTATATTTTTCATTTGTGGTTTGGACTGTTGTTTTTCCGTTGTAAATATAATCACACTCTTTTATCTCTTCCGTGAGTTGGAACCTACTTGGGTTTGTGCTAATTTGTCCTCTGTGGAAAGGAAATTTCACTTTTAATCTTAGAAAGTTTTTTTTGTTTTTAGGTTAATTAACCCTAGCTTGGTTGAATGAATTTTTTTCGTTACCTGCAATGCAAATCAGAGTTTGAAATATATGTAAAAATAGTTCGTTAAAATTAGAAACAATAACTTTTATACACATATCAAATTGTAATTTGTTAGCACGATAACTTTATATGTACGAAGAAAATCAAGTATTATATATGAATTAAATGGATACCATTGTGAGACATTTTACAGTTTTGCTTTTTGCTTATACATACAAAATTTATTTTTCTTGAGTACAAGCACTCAACTCCGACTCATTTTAACCGTTAATCCAACAACTTAAAATAAGTGACCAATAATCATTGGACTTTATGAAATGGTAAAATGTATTTCAACTTACGTAGATATAGGCACTGTTCTAAAAAACGGCCTAGGTGCTAAGCGGTGGTGAGCCGAAGCATTTTCTTGCAAATCGGTTGGAAAAATCGGATCGGCTCTAGGCGGGGCTAGGCCGTTTTTATTTTTTTTAATTTATGAAATTAAAAAATAAAATAAAAAATCCTATATAAGTCTAAGTGGTTTAAAATTGTGAACTTGTTGTACATTTGTCATCTTACAATACTCCTCACTATGGTTATATGGCATATATGCTTAATGTGTTTTTAAATTTTGGACTTGTTGAATACTCTTTTTGCATTTATCATTTTTTTTATTATCTTATCCATGGATTTCATACAAGTATAATTTTTTGTAAATGTCAATATGTATTTATTTACAAGATATACATGAAATTCACCTAAATCTGCTTAGACAACCGCCTAGATCCCGCCTAGCTGCTAGGCGTCAGCCCGCCGCCCGACTAGTGCCTAACATTTTTTAGAACCTTGGATGTAGTAACTAAAAAAAATTGATACAAACACTCTTTGAAAGTTTGGTGGGTGGGCGTTCCATTTCCATGTGAACTGCAGTGTAATCTCTCTCTCTCTCTCTCTCTCTCTGAGCAATTTATATTATTTTATGTTATCTTTAGAAAAATAATGTATGTGGAAAAGGTTTGGCTGTACCACAGGCACACACGACTTTGGTCTGAAGAGGAGCTGTTACCCACTAAATGAACCAGTTACTAACTTACCATCACACGCTCATGGTCACGCATATGCTGCTTGCTTGAAAGAGTTCATCAAAGAAACGGTCGAATCCCTGGAACGATGCCCTTCCTTTCCAACACCGAAACTGCTCAATTTGCTTTCCCTTTTCATGCACAAGTTCCAACATACAAAACTCTCTTTCCCTCTTTTCTCTTTCTTTTTTTCACCTTTATCTTTTTTTTAGCAGCATATTATTAAAAAAAAATAACGAAAAGTTCTCATGAAAATAACAAAATAAATGTGTTTATGAATAGTACTATGAATGATTTTTCAAGGTAAAAATATCATTTTCGTTAAAAGTAAACAGTACCGGAAGTATTTCATTAAAATTCACCTGGACTATGTTAATTGCCCATTTATAATTATATATGAATAATATGAAAATGTGACTAGTTAGGCTTATGACTAATTTGGCACCAGAATACCAGATACATATCCAATCTATTCCTATCTCTATTTTCAGTCATGATGAGAGAGAGAGAGAGAGGGAGGGAGAAAAGGAAAATGCACACGATGCATACAAGTTTGTTTCGTTATGACCTTTCGTAGCAACTAGCAACTGAGGAAATCTTTGCTTCAGGAGTTATGCTACTATAAATCAGTATTGCAAGTGGCTCGAATTAATCCACTCATTGAAATTCTAAAAAACGTTTAATGCATATTCCGTTGTTAATTCAACAATATATGTTATGAGTTGACGTGGTATAGAATTTTTTTTTTTTTTACTTGTAGTGTTATGATTCAACCTCTTTCAGATATTGTGTAAAGCGGGAGTCTTATGCATTGGCTACGACCTTTTTTTTACTTGTAGTGTTATGATTCAACCTATTTGGTAAAGAACAACTCTACTTAAAAAATTAACCAGAAAAGTATTGTCTCGATAAAAGATTCTATAATCCATACATTTGCCTTTTCTCAAGGTATTTCTGTAGACAAAGACCCTGTTTTTTGTTCTTTTCAAATGGTAAATATTTCTCAAACATGTAGTGTAATTCAAACTCAAGTTTAATCGTTTAGTCATCTAATGATAATGCAATAAATAGATGAAATATGTTATCAAGTTAAATATTGAAATTTTGACATAGTTCATCATATTAAATGGCTTAAAGTTGTGCCACATATTTAATGAGTTTCATTTTATTTTTTTATTTTTTTTGTTCAACAATCCTTACTCTTTTTTTACTCATGTTCACACCACCATTTACATTTACCTTCCTCTTTAATACATGCCAGTCAAGATTGGCTTCTCATGTCGATCTTGATGCCATAACAAAACTTGGCAGCTATCTCAAAGGTTTCAGAGTTGCCAGAAAAGTTGAAAATAATTTTCGAATTGCATCGTTGTTCTCATCAATTTGCTTAACAATCTTCACATGTGTAACACAACACAGAAGAAAAGCATGGGGAATGGCAGGGGAGGAATGAGGGGAGAGAACCCTCCTATCAGTGTTTGAAGAGGATAGAGAATGAAAAGGAAAAATATACCACATCCTTCCAAATCTTTATACAGCCTTTTCTTAGGCCATTTCCAACCGATCCGGGCCGAAAATAGCCCAAAATGACACGAAAACCGTCTCCAACTGAGGGCTAGGCCAAAGGGCTTGTGGGCCCCACCGGACCATAAAAGGAGAAAATGGCCAATCGGCTGGTCCAACCCAACCAGCCCCAAGCCGGTCCAGCAGTTTGAATCCAACGGCTATTCGTTGACGTCAGTTAGCTGTTATATTTGAATTTAAAAAAAAAAATTTAATTCTATTTTTTTTTATTATAACCACCTAAGCTATTAAATAACATTAAGTAACATTAAACAACATTAAACAATATTAAACAACCTTAAATAACATCAAGTAACATTAAACAACATAAAACTTATACAACATAAAAAAAAACATTTAACAACATGAAACTTAAACAACATTAAAAAAACATTTAACAACATATAACTTAAACGCCTCCTTCATGCTTCTTTTGGCCCAAAAATGTGTAACAAGATCCTATTGTAGGTACTTGTTTGTGGCACGGAAATGTATCATCCTTTGGCACCTCATTTAAAGAGATATTACTAGTTCTTAGATCGAAAAATAATTGACAATCCATAACGTAAAATTATTGAGGTAGTTTAATTTAAGTAACAATATTAATTCAATTAAAATAATAAATTATGTTTTGCCCTATGACCATTTGGTCTCTTCAATTGGAGATTATTTTTTGTCAGAGCGCTATATTTAGCGTATAACCCTCTAGCCCCTCAGTTGTTGGAAATGATGAGAAAAATGATCTGATATTATTTATTAAAATATTAATTTCTTAAAAGACGGGAATGTAAAAAAGAGCCTATGAGTCTATGACCCTTCTTCAATTTGGAAATGAACTTATCATACAAAAACCCAGTTCTAGTACTCAAACCTCTCTCTGTGTCTGGGTTCCACCAAACGAATATCTTCTATTTTTCATGGACCCTCATTGCCCTTTAGTCTTTATAAAATTATTGAACGCAAAAGTAGTTGCGAACTAGTGTACTATGAGTGCCCACTGTACTTCGTGAAACTCCAAACACAGAGTACCCGGAACGTCTCTCTGCTTAAATCGAGAGGTCACGGTTCCTTTTCATCTGGATCATAATCCCCATCGATATCACATCACACCATTTCTAGAGAGAGAACTCCCTCTTCTACAGAGAGAGACCAGAGAAGATGAAAAAAAACCAGTCCTTCCATCTGGGTTTCTACTAATTTCGTTTCTCACTCTAATTTCTGTTCAAAGTTTGTGGCTTAGGGTTTGAGGAGAGAGAAAGTGCAGCCTTTTCTTCTCCTCTGAATATTTTCAGAATCTCTTCCCTTTTCCAACTTTTTCCATTTCATAATTTAAAAAACAACACCATAAAGTTGTCACCTTTCTCAAACAAAAAACAAAACCAGATTTCAAAGTCCTCACCTTTCATCATTTTTCTCCAAAACAAGCTTACTTTACTCCCAAAATGTCATCATTTCTTCCCACCTCCGCTCTCACATTCTTCCTCCTCCTCTTATTAATATCCAGCTTCCACATTTCCCTCGCCGGTCTACTCGCCGAACCGGTCACCGGTCACCCCCAGCCGCTCAAACCGGGGGAATACTCCAGCCCCAACACCATCCCGGCCCTCCCGTCCCAAACCCAGACCCAAACCTGCCACCTTGACCTCTCCGCGGAGCTCTTCGGCGGTGTCAGCCAAGCATGCGGCCGAGACCTCGACCGGAGCCGGTGCTGCCCTGTTTTAGCCGCCTGGCTCTTCGCCGCCCACGCCAGATCAGCCCTCGAGCTCCCCTCGTCGGATACGGCTCCCTCGGCGGTGCCCGACCAGCCGATGATGCCGGACGACTCGCAGAAGTGCGTCAACTCGCTGCAGTCCTCGCTCGTCAGCCGGAACATTCGGATTCCTCAGCCCAACGCCAGCTGCGACGCCGTTCTGTGCTTCTGCGGAATCCGGCTCCACCAGATCGGCTCCCTGAGCTGCCCCGCTGCCTTCAACGTGTCTCGAGGATTTCACAACGCCACCCCCACCGCCGCCGTCAGGAATCTCGAGAAGAACTGCCGCAACTCTTCGTACTCTGGATGCACCAAGTGCCTTGGAGCTCTCCAGAAGGTCAGTTTCGTCTTTTCAAATTTCAATACGAATTTTTCCCCTTTTTAGATTACAAGAATGCCCTGTGACTTGAGTGGTAATTACAGCTCAAGGGAGGGAGCAAGAACGGAACGGCGGGGGAGAGGAGCACGAGCGAGAGAGCGAACAAGATGTTCAACCTTGACTGCCAGCTAATGGGGCTGACGTGGCTCCTCGCCCGGAACAAAACGGCGTACATTCCGACCGTTTCGGCCGTGTTGCGCGCCATAATGTACAGCGCGCACCCGCATCACGAGAACACGTGTAGCCCGGACCAGGAGAACATGCCGCTGGCCGTGGATTCGCTGCAGATCGAGAACGGGCAAGGGTTCGCCGCATCGCCGCCGTCCATCTTGATGTTACCGATTCTCCCTCTGATCATTTGGGCGTCTCTGTTTGTTTAGGGGAATCCGGGTGTGTGTGAGGTTTTGGGACCTGCCTTGTCTGCTCTTTTACTTTCCATACATTTTCATCCTTTTTTTTATTTGCGCGATCATAAGTCACGTTAATATTTTATATTATTATTTTTATAAAAAATTAATATAAAATATTAACGTGATTTAATAATAAAAAAAAATGGTAAAAGAAAATGAGAGAGCATGAGAAGGGAAAGGGCAGATAAGCTGGATCCGAGGTTTTGCCCATTTTTTTGGTAGTCTCTGACACCCGGTCGTGTCGGGTCACGTGACGCAAGTGGACAAGACGGGCCAGTTGAGTTGTTTTTGTCATTTTGCCCACTGTAAATTTCAGCTCGGTTTCGAAATTGTAGTCAAAATTGTAGTAAGTAATAATTAGTTCCTCACATGGGGAGAGATTCACTTCCAATACAGTAGACACAGGATGCCACGGCAATCTGCAGTGGTTCTGGGTTGGTGTTTTAAGTCATGCACGCAAAAATGACTTATATGAAACGAGAAAGCTAAATTAACAGTGTTTTTAACTAATCACGTGAAGTGTGGAAAGTTAAAACATGTGATGATGTGTAGTGATAGGTTTAAGATACCGCCTCGTTGACATTTCCGTTCTATGCAAGTCTCTTCAAGAAGTCTTGTTTTTGGCCACTAGCATTGCGAAGGCCTAGTCCCTCACGTGAATGGAGGGAAAATAAGGTAAATATGGGTTTAGGACACTGCCTCCTACTTAATCATATTTGTTTTTTTTTTTTTTGAGTACATCGATGTTTTTAGACTAAGAAGATTTTTCAGTGTGATCGGTATATGGGGTGGTACACCATGTGTCACTATACAAATGATGAGATATGTGTTTTAAAAAGTTAATAACTTAAAACATAAAATTTTTCACTACTCCTATTAAAACACGTGGTGTACCACTTGTGTTTCTATCACAACTAAAAATTTCTCCAATACTAGGGTGAAAATATTCTTTTTGATTGATTATAAGGAAAACTAATGAAAAAGACTTGAAAACTTTGAGTTTTAATGATAAGAACAAAATAAAGGGTAAAGTGAATAGTAGTACCATGTTTGACTTTTTAGTGTAAAAATATGATTTTTTGTTAAAGTGAACAGTACCGCGGGTTTTTTGTTAAAACTCTTTTGATTATATTCATGGGTAATGGGAATTTCTGGAGTTGCATTAATGGTAAATGATTTGGGGCCCAAGGCTCATTTATAACATAGAAACTCCCCAAAACTGAGGATGTTGGTCGAATAGTAAATGCAAAATTTTGGGCCTAACGGTTTCGGATTATAAAACCCAGGGGCCAGGACACTGTAACTTGAGGAAGTAATAGAAATGGATTAATTAATAAATTGTTTTTGGAATCTGGACTGTTAAAATGCAGTTTCACATGTTACAGGGAGCGAATTGCGGATGTATCATTGTCTTGCTCCTCCATTGGATAATTGTTTTTGTGTTCGCATTGAGAATAGTGTTCGTGTTGATTTTGGTTCGGTTTGCTTTGGTTTAGCTTGTTTGGTAAATTTTGCACAAATACTGTAAGTTATTTCATCTTTGTGCAATCTCCACTTGCATTAAACATTTCTTAGTTTACCAAACAAACCGCAAATTGTGTGAAAATGGCAAATCCATTCACTCTTTTATTGAATAATAGTCATGTGACAAGCACGAGGCTCATTTTCAAGCATGTTCTCTTCAATTCCATGTAATTACGGAGGAAAATTGATTTCTGAAGGGTTTAGTCGCGTAAAATGGTAAGAGTAGTCTTCCGCTTGTCACATAATCAAAAAGTGAATGAGTTCGACGGAAATCCGAAGGTGCACAAAGGTTGAACTAGCGGTTGACATGATCCATATCAAAACATATTTTTCTTCCTCATTATTTAATGAATCACCAAACAAAAAGAATTATAAATCCATTATTTTGTCCTGTAAAACTTGAGCAACAGAAAATCACAATCTTCAAATCACCTAAGTAGTATCATATCCATCCCTTACCAGCCCTTCCCAATAAGCCACAACCAGTCAAGTGTCACCCCTGCAAATATACCTCCAAGCAAGAACATCACCAGAAGATTTCCCAAAGCATTTTGCTCCGGCCCCTGCAAACCCAAAAAACTCCAATAAGTCTTTGCTTTCAACTCGAAAAAACTGTTAGGTTTTAGTAAATTGAAGTGCACAAACCTTGTAGCCCTTAGGTGCTGAAGTGAGGACGCAGACAGTGAGGTAACCGTTGGTTAAACCTAAGAAGGATGTGAGCATGATCATCCAGCCTTGGTCACCATACTTGGCCGTGAAATAGAAACACGGGACAAGTAAGAAGCGTGAAAGAATCACAATCATGAGCCCTCTGCGCGATTCCATCTTCAGGAATTTCACTAGCGGAATGTATCTTCCGATGAGATCACACACATTGTACATTGTAATCAAAACGAGTGCATACCTGACAAACAAAAGTATGCACAATCATGTAAGCGTACTCTGAGCGGGAAGTGAATGGAACATTAAGGCAAAGGGAAAATTTTAACAATGCCTCTAAACTCAGTTCCCTATTCCAATTTGCCTCTTGAACTTTCAATTTGTTCTGAGGCTCCCTGATCATTTAATAGGTTCCAGTATGCTCCAAATCTGTCAATTTTTTTGTAAACTGAGAGGTACTTTCGTCCATTCAAGGTCGGAAAACTAACGAAAGTTGAGATTGAAAACCGAAAGGAAGACATAAGTTCAGGGAGTATTGGTAAGATCCAAGGCGCAAACATGTCATGTGATAGATTGTGTTCAGTACATACCATGTTCCCAAACTGTGAGATCCAGTGTCTTCTGATAAGAATCCGGGGAAAATTGACAGAGTGAGTGTATAGATTAGAAACATGCCAAGTGCATAATCAATGTTTTGAAGCAACAGCTGTTTGTTCCCAAGTCGGTCAGGTTCTTTTCGATTTTCCTCATCCTGCATCAAATTGCAGCGTTTTTTTTTTGTATAACATTAGAACATGAATGCTTGGGAAACTTTTTAAGCAAGTATTGGACAGAATAACATACTGTTGATTCTGGCAATTTTTGGATGCCACCGGCAGCAAGGTCAGCTGAAACAGTTTTAGATCCTTCGGAAGCTGCCTTTGAGCGATAGTACTTAACAATTGGCAGCTTTGGAAAGGAAAAAGCATAGAGGAAAACGCAGAGAAGCTCGAAGAATGAAGAGATGGCGAAGAACAAAACTGCAGTGGACAGTGAAAAAATAAACAGCCTATAGCTAGAGATCCCAAAGAAAACAGTAAAATGTTCAACAAAATATGAAAAACTGAGAACTTTGAACCTACTGGCTCCCTTTCGAAGACCATTTTGGGAATTCTCAAATGCCGCCTTTGTAATCAGCCTCAAAGCAGAGGTTAGAGCTCCTGATGCAGCCGAACCAGCAAGGAAAGACTGAAAAGTTTGAAACAAGAGAAACTCAGAAACTGATAACAATTTCGAAAACACAAAGGAAAACAAATATTGAGCATCGAACTGAAATTGTGGAAAGAACAATACTGACTTGGATGAGCTCAACTGGCATGAAAGAGAGGTCTCCAACCATTCCACCTTGCACATGAGCATCTGCAATTCCGAAGGCAGCACTAATTGCACAAATTCCGATAAAAGTTCCTAAACCTCCTTTCCCGGATGTAGCTAAATCCAACTGTGCCAGAATCAAGAACATTTTAGAGACTTAACCAATGCTAACATTGTGAAATTAAGAAGTATACTGAAAATATAGTCTTTGAAGATTTGAAGGGAACTTACAACGAGCACCAACAAAGAACTTAGGAAAAACAGAATGTATCCTAATAGGTTTCGCTTCCTAGTATTGATCTTCGCCTCATGGTATGACAGTGCAAAGATAGTTAAAAGTGCGAATGGCTGGTATACCAGTGTAAGTACCCTCGAGGGATGGTACCGCTGCACCCGGGAAAAAAAAACTTATGAGGTATTTATCCAACTTCAAAGGTAACCAACTGTCCAAACACACTGCCTACTGTCACTTAATTCAGAAGCAAATACAGGAGAGTATGAACTAACAGGAACAGTGAGAACAAAAATTGATTTATTCAGGCAGTTACCGGGAACAAGTTAACATAGTAATCTTGAATTGTGAGCATGCTGTTCCATGAAAAGAGGCATCCATTTCCAAGAAGCCAACACACTAACATTGCAGCATACTTCCCCTACAATTAGAGAACAAATCCATATTAGAAATTGCTCCTACGCTAATTTAAGCGAGGGGGATTCGAACTTGGGTGCAAATTCGTTCTAGCGTAAAGGAAACAAAAGAAAGGGCAGCAAACCTCAAGCTGTGGAGGGGGTGCATTCACATCAATGCTTGCCATGACTGCTTCCTTTCAACCAGCTTCCCTACAAAGCGAACGCCTTTATGGCAAATTAGCACACCAATAGATAATAACCCACATGATTAGAAGCCGTTTTTTGGAAATTATTTATCAATGGCTAGTTTAAATTGGTGATCTCCGGCTATTGCTCTTAAATTTTGCTGCTCTGGCCACGAAGTTTCTGCTCAATCTAGTCATTAACAAATCATTAAATTTCTTGAGTACATAAATAAGACTTTGAAATAAAATCCTACTGTGAATCTGTCACTACAATAATCAGAGTCAACCCCCCTTCAATGAAGAGATTTTTACTCTGCTGGGAACACGAACGGTACACCAAGTATCATAAGACAAATAGTTGGATACTTGAAAAGAAAAATTTTCAACTACTTGTCTTATAACACTTTGTATACCGGATCGTGTTCCCGGCACAGTAAAAAATTTCTCCCTTCAATGATTATGATTTTCTTAGATTCAACCAGACAAGGCATTAGACATTTAAGTACATATATTGTCCATCCTGTATCTATAAATTAGTTCGAACGATAAAAATGAATTGTAGACTTTTAGCCAGAAGATTCATTACAAGATAAAACAACAATGTGCGCATATACGAGTTAGGTTAGTTGAATAGGACGATGTGTCACCACTCCTACACGTTGTTGATGTTCAAACCGTAAATTAGATTAATTTATAATATCGGTTCGCAGGAACAAACAATAAATGATATTCCCAACGTATAAAATTTGAATCCTATGATGCAAGAAGAAACAAGACTTTCGTTCATCATTATCTTTCATAAACATGCAAAACCAAAGATTTATCTAAAAAAGGAGAGAGAGATAGAAACTTACTCTTAGAAGAAGGTGGGTAGGATTGGATATGTATGGATTGGACTGTGAGTGTGAGAAGACCCCTTTCGATGAAGACTCCAACTTTAGCCGTCAGGTACAGTGCAAACCCAGAAATAAGAACTCGCGGGTGTTTGGTTGCACGCGTAAAACTCAAATCCTATGTTTGTTCAAATTTTTTGTGGCTTTGTGGCATCCGGCGTTGCACTGCATTCAACAAAGTCGTGAGGATTCAGGAATCACAATGAAATAATAATCCAGTTCATTTCAATCCATAAACAAAATCAAATCTCAACCCCTTTTTGTTTCCCCGGAAAACGTCTCAGATTCTCAATAATCGCAACAGAAAATTAAGGAATAAAAGAAAAAAGAAGTGTAAAAGTTTGAATTTGAATAGGACTGGACGTTCATGGCCAGTTGTTTGGGTTTCTATAAAAGGACAGAAAGGAGTGAAACTCTCCTGAAAATGGACCCAAGTGTTAACAATTTAGAGGGTGTTGACTCTGCCGCCACGGCGCTTGTTTCTCCCTTGTTGTCACTTCCACGATCACATTGGTAATACTTTATTTTCTTTATTATTGAATAGATGCTTTATTAGATATCATAAAATAGTAAGGATAGGAAAATCTCTTTAAAACTCAAACGTTAATATTAAAAACTAAAATTACTGTTGCAGTCGTATTTAGAATAAGAATGTGATTGTGTAAATCATAGTAGATATGAGAATGTATCTTATATTCCTATTAGGAGTTGATTACTTATTAAATGTTGTAATCCTAAAGTGAAATGTTTTTACATATCCTACTACTATAAATAAAGGCATAATTGGGTGATACAAACACACCTCACAACTAAACCACTCTCTCCTCTCTCTATTTGCTGCCGGCCCTCTCTCTCTCTAAACCCTAACACTATGTTTGAACGAAGAAATTTAAGATTACTAAGGAATTTTAAAATGACGGAAATTGAAATGAATGGATTTTATTTCCTAGAATTTGTTAATTTTGTTGTTTGGTTAATTTAAAAGAACAATGGAATTGAAAACGAAATTTGTTAATTTTAAACTCTCAATCATAGAAATTGGGAAATGATACCTATTTACATGGAATTTAAACTTGGAAATTGGAGGCCCCAAATTTCAAGTTTTTTTCCACGTAGAAATTCTAAATTTCTATGTTATTAATCCAAACAAGAGAATTTGTGCATGTCAATTTATAAATTCTGACTTTTATCCAAATTTCAAGTTTATTTTCATCATTCAAACATAGTGTAAAGATCATTCAATCAAATAGGCTTACAACAATTACAACTTATTTAAAAGACACGTTGCCTGATTAAATATTATTAGACGTAAACTAAATGTCCTAAAAATAATGAAATACAGTCTTCCAAAAAAAAAGCAAGCCCGAAGAAATAGTGTCGGCCTCGGTAAAAAAAAAAAAAAAAAAAAAAAAAAAATCCCAAGAAAATCACTTTTGACAAGACTTCGGGGTAGGAAAAAAAACTCTATGCACCCATGAATTTCAACTTTTATCAACTATTGCATTATTCGACACCACCTTCATCACCTTCACAATTGTAAAGCCAAGCAATACCATCATGGAGAGTAACTCCAAAATTCATTCATAACCTCTCGCTTAGCCGGGATATTTCCTTCTACCATTATGTCTATTCCCACGAGTCATGGCTCAGGTTTCGCTTTGTCTCCCGACTTGCTTCGTGAGGTAATGGAGCTTGACCTGGCACCTGGTCGACATGATCGCGTTTTATCTAAGTAATGATACACTTACTACATGTCGACATGATTCTGTTTTATCTGAGTAAGCTACATATATCACATTTGTATTACCTTTCTTATAAAAATATGACACCAACATACGTAAGTCTCATCTTTATTAGAAAAATGTTGTAGCATTATTGGCTTTATCTATCCCCTATAGTGGGGCAACTTCAAAGTTCAACCATGGCTGCTGATCCTATCAATCAGCTTGCCGACATGGCAAATGACAACAACACTTGGGTCCACATGGATGCTATGGTGGGAGTGCCTGTAGTTGTCCCGAGTTTAGGCACTACTTGAACGGGTTCGAGCGAGTTGACTCGCTGAGTTTGAGTCCACACAAGTGGCTACTCAGTTACTTGGATTGTTGTTGCTTGTGGGTCAGGAGACCCGATTTGTTGGTCAACAGGTTCAGTACGAACCCAGAGTTTTTGAGGAACCAAACCAGTGAGATCCGAGTCAGTGGTGGTGAACTACTATGATTGTCAATTGGGCACTGGCTGGAGTTTCAAGTCACTAAGATTACGGCTCGTGTTACGTAGTTATGGTCGGACGTCCTAATGGCTAAATGTTCGAGGGTTTCGTAAGTTCCGACCCCTGATTTGAAATCGGTGGGCAGGTTGGACAAAGTTATATAGTTGTTCAAAGCTAAGTCGCTATCATGTATGAAGACATAAATTTGGTTAGTGGTGGTGTTCAAGTTGGACAAAGTTATATAGTTGTTCAACATTGTCTGTGTTGCTTCATTTGATTGGTCTAAATTCTGCATCGGGTAAAATTTGAGCTTTTCAAATTGAATCCGTTACTTATATGAATTGTCAAATAATATGGCAATTTGAATCTGGTAATTCAACAAATTATAAATAAATTTTTATGTGACTTAACTTAATGTGACACGTTTGTAGTCAGTGGCAGAGATATAATTTTGCCACGATTAGTGCGCGATAAATAAAGAAGCTCCCATCCTCAAAACCCTTAGAGATCTTAATTCCCATACTCAATGGAACCATCAACTACAAGACAATACAATACAATCCAACAGGTTTTGCAAAAGCCAGTATTAATACATAAAGAACAAAAGATCAGAACATGGCAAAAAATTAGGTCCTCCTTGGACACAAATAAATGCTTCAAATTCAACAAAGAATAACCTTATGACACAGGTTGTTTATGAACGAAGCAAGATATGGTGAAACAATTCAAATTACATATTTTCATAAGTGTGGCTTTGTGATGTTTAAGACCACCATGGATCTTCGCCGGTTCTGAAGTCGGTTTCAACCCATGGAACAAACAGCACCTTCCCATCATCAATATCGGCATGAGCCAACGCCAGAGACTGTTCCAACAAGTAAAATTTCAAAGATTGGTTATTTCAGAAAGGAGATAAAGAGACAGACTTTTATCGTATGTATTATGCAGCATTCGACATAAATTTATGCATATTGCAGTTTGAAAACCATTGTGGACATAGCAATTTTGTATGCTCAGTTAGCCTTCATCATAAAACCAATCACTTTAACGCCTTACTTAGTTACAACCCTACGCTACCAAGCTTGGTACATACTTGGTTAATATATCTTCAAGAAAAAGAATTTAAACTAGCAAGAGTCAATAAAAGTCTAAATGAACTCACCAAAGGAGCAGGTCCTCTGACAACCCTTCCTTGGTCATTGTACTGGGATCCATGGCAGGGGCATATGAACTTGTTCTCCGCCTTGTTAAATGGCACGACACAGCCAAGGTGAGTGCAGACGGCATTGATTCCGTACGTGGCAAGAGTTTTATCTTTCTCCACAACAAGGTATGTAGGATCACCCTGACAAGCACAGCAAACAATCCGAGTTAATTTAATACCTTCTAATAATATATATCCCAAATTTCTCAATTCGATTTTCAGAATGGTTGATCACAACAAAAAGTATCATTAGCTCATAATCCCATAATGCTGCTGATTGTATTGGAAGTCAGACTTGAACTTTTCATACAAATTGAAATGAGGATATGATAATCTAAGATATTGAGTTTCATCAGTGACATGTATCAGTACCTTCAATCCTTGTGTGAGGGTCCTGTCACCAGGGCCATGAGTCTTAAGCCATTCAGCTGCAATCACGTCGTTTCCCAGAGCATCCTTAGCAACTTGACCACCAGAGCCGGAACCGGAGCTATAATGTTTTTCCAATCAATCGTAGCCATATCAAAGAGCTATGGAGAAATTATTTCATGCCAATACACTATTGTGAGTATGATGGCAATTGTGATATAACATGATTGTTCACTCACATCCTAACAAACTCTCACTAATAGAAATCAAGAGTTCTTGTTGAACAGCTCAGTGGTGAAGAAAAAACTCATAGTGTGAGGAGAAAGGAGTTTCTCTCTTGAGTGATGCTATTTAGAAAGTGTCTCAACAAATATTGTTAGTTTGGTGTGTCTAAATAACATTATTGTTTTCTATTTGGTATCAACTTCTAAATGGGGGATCAGTTCAACTTTTAACATTGAAGACGTGGTTCCATATAGAGGTTCTATAACTTCTACTTTGGCTGTAAAACATTTGAAGAAAAATTAGACTTCTTGCAGCTAAGCAAAGCTCAGTCGATATCAGTGGACCAATGAGACTAATAGTTTATGAAATTACATTAACGCAAAAATCAATGAAACCTTTGAAGTGAATCCTAAGCAAGCCGCATTTGGATTGGTCTTAGTGAGTTCAACGGTTCAATATGATATACAAGATATAATCCAAATACAATGAAAAACCCAATAACAAGTACCATCACCAATCAATACAAATACTTAAACGAAAGAAAAGGGCAAAAAGTAGATGTGAGTTATGTTAGTTAACAATTTAACCACGTCTTCGTATATTAGAATTGTTTAAAATATATACACACACACACTTGTTAAACAAAATAGAAAATGGGAAAGGGTAAGGTGGGTAGGAAGAGAACTCACCCAGGTGGAGCAAAGAAAGTGGCATAAGGAACCAGCATGAAGCCACTGGGAAGTGAGATAGCACCCAGAAGAAGCAGATTCATAAGCTTCCTCTTCTCCATGTCTGGCACTCTATCAGCAGAAATACTGGCTGCCTGGCACGTGACTCTCATTCCCTTCCCCTTTCCCATCATCTGTGTCCTCTTGCCCTTCACGGCAAAGCCCTGCGCCGATGAAAACATTGCACTCTTGCTGGAGCATAGCTGAAATAAACAAATAAATAAATCAAACACAACAAAAGATGATTTTTCATTAATTCTGGCCTCAACCCTCCAAACCCACGTCAGGGAAATCAAGTGAAAGAGATCAATCAGTACTAATCAATGGTTAAGTAAGCAATAGGAGAGTTGGTTTTTGGTTTTATTACCTGGGAAGTGGTAGCAGGAGAAAGAGTAGAGGAAGCCATTGGAACGAGATTGCTCGGAGATAAAACTGTTAGCTTCTTTTTTGTATGAAAAATGGTTTTGTAACGACCACAGCCATTGGTGGATAAGGCGCGTGGCCAATAGGGAGCCACATAACCACATGTTCATGATCAAGAATTTTCATTTTTCCCCTCCTCTCTATACAATAAACTTTCAAATAAAATAAATTGACGACTCTTTTGAAAAATCAAAAAACAACAATGATGGGCTGACTTACCCAAGATTGGGATGGGCTATAAATATATTTGTCAA